TTTTTTTTTTTTTTTTTGTTGGTTTTTTTTTTGTCTGGAATAGAAAGATAAAAGTGTCATCGAAGGGGGGGAATATTAAATCCTCCGTTTAAATATTTATTGTCAGTTGTGAAAACATTTATGTAATTTTTGAAGTAAGTGGCAGAAATCGATAGAACCGTAGCTTACAAGAAAATATAGTTATACACACCAGTACCCACACTGTTAATGTCTGCATGGTGTTAATAGCATAGTTTTGCATCAGCTTGTTATACTGGGCTTCATGAAGTGAATCAAAGGTAAGTTAGATGTAATCTTTTTTTCCTAGACTCAGCTGTTTATTTGAGAGATACAGGTGAGTTTGCTAGAAATGGAACGACTCTGAAAAAATAAAAGCAAGTTCTTTTTCCCTGTTGAGGGCCAGACTGCCAGACTTATTTGCACAATATAACATGTTACTGTGAACAGCAACATATGTTCTTAAAGACAGTGTAAAGACAGCCTGACTAAGAATCTGGTAAAAAAAAACCAGATCATGATTGCACTTTTTGAAAATGATTAATCAATTTTGGGGAGCAGATGCAATAAAGACTGGTGAAATGATAGATAACGGTTATGTCAGACTGTCCAATACAATGATCTGTGTAACTGAATTGGTTCAAACAAAATGCATTTTAGTGCAACTGAATACAGTACTTCTAGGAAGAGTGAATACATGTCAGAGCATAAAGATTTTGAATGATTACCAGTGACTTGAGGGGGAAACTGCACTTTGTGCTAGATTGAAGGTTTTTTTTACATGAATGTCCAGTGCAAAACTATGGTGAAAAGTGGGGAAGTGACCTGAGATATGTAAACAGTGGTGTAGTGAGTTTGTGAAATTGAAATACACGAGCAGAAAATGTACTGTGGTTGGGGTATTTTACTTCAGGAGGAAACAAGCCCAAGAATCACCTGAAAACAGAAGCTGAACTATGGAAATAATGTCCTTTTATTTTTAAACAGTGAATTGATGTCAGACACTTAAGATAAAATTGATGTACTTTTTTAGTTTAACTACTGGTGCAAACATGTAAAGCTAGTGCTGGATTCCCCATATCCTGACACTTCTGATCAAGGATGGGTATCTCCCCTGAAGATGTGTTTTAGCCATATGCAATTGATGAGGCTTAATGCAGCAGTAATTAGGTGAATTTATGATCTTGATATGCAGGTGGTTTATCTGCATACAGTGTTATGCAAATGATTTAATGGCCCCTGCCAGCTATAATTCTGTAAAGCATGTCTTATGTGGTAATAAGAAACGTGTATCAAAGGACTTGCTATGATTATCTTTTGTTAACAGGCATAGTATTGTTGGAATTCAATTGATAAAAGCTTTGCTTTTTTTCCTTTTAATTTTTGCAAGATTGTATTTACAAAGTTATTCCACTCACAACCTAAAATATTAGGTCTTTGTTCTTGTGTTTTGGCAGCAATAGTCTGTTAAAAATAATTTGCATAGGTGTTCAGTATATGGAAAATATCTAAATATCTGATCTTGGGATTTAAGAACAAGATCTTTAAAAAAATATTGTAATGCATGAACTTCCAATTTATTCATTTGACTAATCTCATTGGTTTCAGTTGGGTTATGGGAGACAGTTATGGGGCAGTGTAATCTGGCAATGAATAAATTGATGTTGGAGATTGGAAGATGTTTAACCACCAAAATGGTGAGTTTCTGGAACAATCTACCAGTAGGAGTGATAAAGGCAAAAATTCTCAAACCAAAAGTCCGAACAAAATTTTAAATGGATCATGATCAGTTTATGGTATGGCTGCCCGCTTCTGTAACAAGTAATGTAACCTAAACCCCAGAAAGACTCCTCTGCAATTCTCATTTACCTTTCTATGTAATAGAATTTTGCTGTTTGGTTTGTAAAACAGAAATATTTACATGGCATCATGCTATTATACTCTGGATTTGAGATGCAAATGCTGCATTCAGTAATACAAGTGGCTAGGGCAATAAATAATAGTTGTAGGTTGGATCTGAAGTTATATTCTGTTAATACTTGGATAAAATGTTAAAAATAGTCAACTGAAAACACTGTATGGGATAAGGAAAACTTTTAATGTAATTTTATTTTGTTAATAAGTATTCAAAATCACGCTGACTATAGACACATGTGTAGCTACATGTGTATAAATTCTGAAGGTATATTTTATTTCTTTGAAAAAGTCTTTCCTTTTCCAAAAGGCTTTGTCCTTTGTCTCTTATTGCAAGAAAATGACAGGCTTCTATATCTAGCTGAAGAACATAATGATACATAAACAATGATTTAATAAAGAATACAGAAAAATATATACCAATCTCCTCCTTATTGAAATATCTAAAATGTGGGGCATCAGAATTTTAGGGGAAAAAAAAAAAAGGGGGCTTAATTAATTCAAATTGTGCTGTCTTTAACTTGACCCCTTTTATGTCTGACCTTGTGGCTGTTTTTATAGGGAGCCAGACTAAAATACCTTTCCCTTATCTTACAATGTCTGTATCTTCCAGTAAAAGGGAGAAGACACAGTGCTAGTTATGTTTTTAATTCTCTTCAAATCTTACTTGTATTTTATTTTCTCAATCATTTTTATAGTAGGTTTTTTATATTAAATGCTGAGTGGTAGTTGATTACAGGAAAACTTGTACTCATGGATATTACAGTAAACTAATTGAAAGATTTCTTTTGTTCTTAACTATTAAATTTGAGTTCTGATCATTTCTAGTTATTTCCTTGCGCTATTCAGCAGGTTTTTGTTCATTCAGGTAAAAAACCAATAAGCTTTTCCGTAGCTAATTTACTTCAGTAAATTCCTGCAAGCAACAGCAAAGATGAATCCTTTTTGTTCTGCCAGTGTGTGGTCCTGTGTCATTCCACTGAGTTTGCACTTCTCAGATCTGAAGTAAAATCGTGTCTGTATTTCAGGCTTTCTGTAGCCTGTGTTTGGTGCTGCTTCCAAATTTGGCCAAAACCCATGTAAAAATGGACTGCACCTACCAGCCACCTGATGAGGGAGTTGTCTGTCAGTCTGTAGTGAGTGAAAGAGGCAGGGGAAATCAGTGCACAAACAGAAATACCAGATGAAAAAATCATTCATTGCGCTCTCACTTTCAGTGGCTAGTTTGTAAGTATCTCCTAGTACCTCGGGTTCTAGATTAATATAATAAAGTATTTATTTAGCTTTAGTCCCAATTATAATACTGAAATTGAATCATTTTAAAGCTGCTATTCCAATCAATATGATCACAGCTTTCATTTTTAATGCTTGCTAAAGTTGAGAAAGATTACAAATGTTTATTGATCCTTGTGCTGTAATTCATAAATCAATCAATCCAAAAAACAGTTACTTAACCTAATATGTATTTTTTACCTTGTCTGATTCTTTATGAATCTTACTAGCTGTTCATGTTGAGTTCTAAACAAAGGATTTTTCCAAATTTTAAAATTAAGAGTATTACAATGAATGCAAAAATTCAAAGATACTTTTTTTTTTTTAATGTAGCATGAGGTATTCCCATAACATGAAGGAGTACTGTGTAATGTAGTGTTTTGGGGTTTTTTTGGTTTATTTTTCTCTAAAGCATCAATCTGTTCTAAGGTTCTCTCTTGAACAGTTTGAGTGTTCAGGCAGTTTCTTGACCACTTGTAAGTACAAGCTCTAAAAATAAGAACACTCCATCTCTGACAATTTTGCAGCAATGGATGACTGTAATGAAAGACACAGGAAGACATGGAGTTATTCTATCTCATGGAAACGTTGTAAAGATAAACCTGTTAAATGTTCTGAGATACTCATAATTATGAGGGACTTGTACAAACCAACTTTGCTGTTTCTGCAGCTCTTAGGGGATGTGCTGATGTGGATCCTGCTGCAAGTGTGTTTGCACCATAAAGTCACCAACCCATATTGTTGAGGGGCATATGTGTTCTGTGCCTCCTTGTGCCCTGAATAAGGCCAAGCAGCAGGGTAAAGTGCTAAAGGAGCTGTTACGCTTCCTCATTATTCTCCTTTCTGCCAAGGCAGGAAGATCTCACCTCCTCTCTCTGAGATTCCTTTTCAAAATCTTCTTATTGAAAAAAACTTTCTTCACTTCTTTATCAGATATAACTTCTGTATAAACCACAGACCCAGGAAGTGCAAGTGCTTTCCATGTGGATTTAAAACTTGTGGCTAAAAACATGGTTGTTGAGGCAGCCTGTGTGGAT